AGGGTCAAGGACAATGCCCTGCCCATAGGGAAGAGAGAGGCAGGGTGTCAGGTTGGGAAGGAGAGAGAAGTGAAGTCATCCACTGGCAGCCACATTCAAATCTTTTGTTAGTTAAGCAAGAGTAGGTGTTCCAGAGCACAGGAGATGAGGAAGGATGCGTGGCCCAGATGGTGCCAGGAGCTGCTGTGCCATGCCTCCTGGTGCCCTGACCTCTAGCAGTAGGTCCCAAAGTACCAATGCTTGGGCCAAGAGTGCCTCAACCAACTATCTGGGCTCCTATAGTTCATGGACCTCAGTTGCTCTGGCTCTTTTACTATTTGGCTATAACTGTATAATACAGGTCTTTAATACAGGCATTCTTGAAGTAGATGCATATGCAGCAACCAGTGTTCTGCAACCATAGAGCCCTAGCAGGGTGGCAGAGGGCTGACTGACCTCCTCACTGCTACTTTGGTGGCTTCTCAGTGTGACATTTATTTTTATTTTTTTAATCATTATTGTTCAGATTGTTACAGTTGTTTCTCTCCCCACCACCACCACCACCATAGCTCCCCTACACACACACACACACACACACACACACACACACACACACATACAGACTGTTGTCATCCATAGGTATATGATTTTTGTCTAGTCTCTTCTCATGCCCCCTACACCCCCTTCCTCCTGAGAATTGTCAGTCCATCCCCTTTCTATGCCCCTGATTCTGTTATATTCACCATATTCTGTTCATCAGATTTTTTATTCACTTGATTTTTTGATTGACTTGATAGATATTTGTTGTTCATAATTTTTATCTTTACCTTCCTCCTCCTCCTCCTCTTCTTCTTTTTAACTTAATAAATCTTTATTGTTCAAATTATTACAATTGTTTCTCCTTTTTCTCCCCATAGCTCCGCTCCACCCAGTTCCCACCCCACCCTCTACCCTTACCTCCCCCCACTGTCCTCATCCATAGGTGTACGGTTTTTGTCCAGTCTCTTTCCGCACCTCCCACACTCCTTTCCCCTTGAGAATTATGACCCTGATTCTATTATATTCACCAGTTTATTCTGTTCATCAGATTTTTAATTCATTTGATTTTTTGATTCACTTGTTGATAGAAATGTATTTGCTGTACATAATTTTTATCTTTACCTTTTCTTCTTCCTCTTCTTAAATAATACCTTTCAGCATTTCATATAATACTGGTTTGGTTGTGATGAACTCCTTTAGCTTTTTATCTGTGAAGCTCTTTATCTGACCTTCAATTCTGAATGATAGCTTTGCTGGGTAATCTTGATTGTAAGTTCTTGCTATTCATCACTTTGATATTTCTCGCCACTCCCTTCTGGCCTGCATAGTTTCTGTTGAGAAATCAGCTGACAGTCATATGGGTACTCCCTTGTATGTAACTGTTTTTCTCCTGCTGCTTTCAAGATTCTGTCTTTTGCCCCTGCCCGCCACAGCTCCTCCAAGTCTCTGAGTTTCCATGTGCCTTTTTCTCTACCTGATAGTCCAGATTCCCCCATATAAACCTGGGTCCACAGGGTCTTGCCCAGAACTGGGGTTCAGTGCAGTCAGAACTGGGGTTCAGTGCAGTCGGGAGTTTCCTTCTCCCTCCCACCAGAGAAAACCAGCCAGGCACTCAGCTGCCCTTCCTCTCTACACACGTCTCCATACCCCTGCCCTTTGCAGCTCCTCTGATTCTCCATGAGCTTTTCTCTTTCCTTCTAGTTGTAGAATTTCCACTTAGCCAGCTTTCCTGTGGTTCTGGATGATGTCAGTTATGTCTTTTAGTTGTAATTTTGAAACTGTTGTGCAAGGGAGTTTAGGTGCTTACCAATGCTGCCATCCTGGTTTCTCTATCCCAATTAGCTCACTTTTAAAACATAGAGGCCATCAAGAATGCAAGTGTTGCTATGGGTTCAAAAGAAACAATGATCACAGGTAATTAAAGAGGTAGAAAAAAACCAGTTGATTTGAATAAATGGAAAGCAGTTAGCCAGTTTGGAGTCAGTGACATATGAACAAGTAAAGTTACTACATGCTGACTTGAAAGACACTCCTGGAATGAGTGCTGAATGTGATTCATTTAAGGTTAGTAATAGGTAGTTGAGTAAATTTAAGAAAAGAAGTGTTCATTTAGACATGTACTGTATGTAAGAAAGGTTAAAAAAAGGAATCATTTGGAGGTCTGCAAAGGATTATTCAATTTATATTATTTCTAGTGAGAAAAAACAATTCAGTTTTTGAACAAATTGCTTGCCTCTTTTTCTTAATATTTTTTTATTGATTTTTTTACAGAGAAGAAGGGAGAGGAATAGTTAGAAATATCAATCAGCTGCCTCCTGTACACCCCCTACTGGGGATTTGCTCGCAACCAAGGTATATGCCCTTGACCGGAATCAAACCTGGGACCTTTCAATCCACAGGCCAATGCTCCATCCACTGAGCCAAACAGATAGGGCAACAAATTGCTTCTCAAACAGCCTTCTGGATGAATTAAGTTAGAGAACTAATACACATACACACACACACACACACACACACACACACACACACAGGGTGAGGCAAAGTTGGTTTAGTTGTTCGTATGGGAAATATACAATAATTTTTTAAAATATATTTTATTGATTTTTTACAGAGAGGAAGGGAGAGAGATAGAGAGCTAGAAACATCAATGAGAGAGAAACATCGACCAGCTGCCTCTTGCACACCCCCTAACGGGGATGTGCCCACAACCAAGGTACGTGCCCTTGACCGGAATCGAACCTGGGACCTTTCAGTCCGCAGATCAACGCTCTACCACTGAGCCAAACCGGTTTCGGTGGAAATATACAATAATTAATAATAATAAAACAAAAATAGTTTTGTGTACTCACAACTGTAGGTCTACTTTTGCCCACTCCATATATGTGTGTGTATACTATTACATATGTACACACACACATCCTATACAATAAAAGGCTAATATGCAAATTTTCCCTTGACCAGGAATTCAACTAGGGGGTGGCGTCTCGGCCAGGGTTCCATGGGCCAACCAAGCATGGGCCTCCCCACCCGCTCTGGCCCTGTCTCTGATCAGCTCTCCCTCCACTCCTCCACCCCCTGCTCCCCCTCACATTGGGGGCAGGTCCAGCTGGCCAACTTCCTGTGGCCCCTCCCCCAGCCAGTGGCTGATGTACCCTGATCAGGAGGGCCAGCCAGACCCCACCCATGCACGAATTCATGCATAGGGCTTCTATCCTATGTATACACACACACATATGTGTGTGTGTGTGTGTGTGTGTGTGTGTGTGTATATATATATATATATATATATATATATATAAATAATATATATCGATATATAGACTTACAACTTTTTATTAGGTTTAAATTTATGCAAAATAAAGTTAGGGGGAAAATGTACCTTCTAGGTGCTAGAATTATTGATTTTATCAATATCAGAATTTGTGGGAATTGGTGAGTCTCTGTTTTTATTCTTGCAGCCAAGGACTTTGTGTGTGACACCTGCAATGCTGTTATCAGCTGTCTGTGACAAAGCTAATGAATCGCTGTGATGAACAATGACCTCAGGGGCAGTGTACATTTTCTGGGTGCTGGCTTATGCCAACTAAGGGAGCTATATGTGAACATGGCTCCAGCCTCATATCTTTAGTTTGCTTTCAAGTCTGAGTTTGGTAGAATTGTCTCAGCTGAACCTTGTATCTGCTAACTGGACTACTATACTTTTAATATGAGCATACCCTTGATTCAGCTCTTTTCCTTATGGGAACCTAGCCAAAGGAAATCATAAATGTGCTGATTCTGCTAGCAAATAATTAGAAACAATATCAATGGTTAAAAATGAAGGACTAACTTCAGAATCTTATGCAGTCACTGAAAATAGTATTGCACAAATGTGCAGGCTAACATCAATAGTCACAATAATGGTGGGGAAAAAACTAGGTTATAAAATTGTGTGGTATGAACAAATAATAAACATAATTATATCTAGATTTAGAAAAGTGTACATTAAATACTTAACTTTGGCTATTTCTGAGCAAATAAAATTTTGAGTGTTTGGGTTTTTTTTCTTATCCATATTTTTTAACTATTCTGTAATAAACATGTATTGCTTAAGCAATTAAAAAGAAATTGATAAAAAGATAGTATGATATTTAATAAATCCACTTATGGGACTTCCTCATATTAATTATAATTTAAATGTGGGGGTTGCATAATATCTAACATTTTAATCTTTTTATATATCTATTTAAAAGATGTATCCTGAATTTGTTCAGGTTCTGGTTTTGGGATATCTGGGTTACATCTGGGCCTGTCACTCAGCTGACTGTAGAACCAGGCTACTTAACCTCTAAATCTATATTTTCATCTGTATAACAGGGATGGTGGTAATATCAACATCACAGCTTTGTTAAGAGTTAAATAAAACAGACAACTCTTGGCACACAGTACCTAACAATACTAAGGCTGTGTTAACTACCGTGTTTCCCCGTAAATAAGACATCCTCCGAAAATAAGACCTACTGCATGGAAAGATAAGACATCCCCTGAAAATAAGACCTAGCACAACTTTGGGAGAAAAAATTAATATAAGATACTGTTTTATTTTCAGGGAAACAGGGTATTACTGAATTAGGTGTGTGAAACTTTCAAGGGCCAGCACTATAGGAGACTCTGCCTAAGCCTAAAATGCCTCCACCAGCAGTCTGATAACTACGCTGTGCATCTTGCCTACCCTTTTTTTGGAGAAAGGAGCAGGTTAAAGCAAAAGTAGCACTCCTAGGCCACTTAACTTCCCTGAAGCCTGCTTATTTCTGCTGAGAAGGTAGAGATGCTGATGAATTCTGTTAATAAAGCACAGTGCTCACCAGGCCAAAGGTAGTGTGATCAAGGTCTGAAGTCCTTTAATAAGGAAGCATCCCTCCTAGCCACTCTTAGGGGAAAGATTTTTAGTCCACACAAAACCCAGCATATTTATTTAAAAATTTTCAAAATTATCTTTTTAAAAAAATGTGTTTTTATTTATTTTAAGGAGGGAGAGGGATAGAAACATTGATAAGTTGCCTTCTGCATGCCCCCTACTGGAGATCCAGTGGGCAATCTGGGTGACACTCAACCACTGAGCTACAACAGCCAGGCTCAAAATTATCTCTTACACTCAGAACCTATGAGCCAGGGTACAAACGAGTGAGGTTGTCATTCATTAACTTATTAAATAAAATTTCAAATTAAAATATGTGGAGTAATGTTTTTCACACTTTTCAAAAGAATCACATGAGTGCTGGAGATTCATTCTGCTAATTAATACAGGGGACCCAGTATGGGCCAGTAATTTGGAAGTATTTTTTTTTACAAATACCTCCAGATGATTACCATGATCAAAGAAATGTGGGAAACATTCATTTGAAACATGCTTTTCAACTCCCTTTGCAGATTTTAATTATTGAACTACTGATCCCAGAATGACTCACTGAAAAGTCTTTTGCAGTCCAGTTTTAGGAACGTCCTCTGAACATTTCATGCCTCATGGGAGACATCACAAATACTTTCTTCTGTTTGTTTCTTACAAGACAGACAGGCATTCCTTTCTCCTTTCCATTTCTGATCAGCTGTTCTACGGTAGATCATGTTTTTCTTTGAGTTTGTATCTTCCCTGAGTTGAGGCACACCAACCCAATCAAATCATCTTTATATTTTGATTTCTTTTTATGCAACTGTCACTTTTAATAACCTTTGCTTGCTTCTGTCCAACTCCCTTCTCTTCTGAAACTTAAGAAATTGAGATGCTTTGTACAGACTCAATATTCTGGCTTTTCCACTTTAAATCTCATACTGACGACCCCGTGTATGCCGGCTTGGATCTCATCGTTTACTTTAACAGGGCCAACTCCCTTTGGCGTCCCGGTCAAGATAATATCTCCTTCTTCCAAGGCCATTATCTTAGAAACGTAGCTGATGAGGTAGGGGATGGTAAAGATCATGGAAGATGTCTCACCCTCCTGCCGTAGTTCTCCATTGACCTTGAGCCAGAGCTTCAGGTTGTGAGGGTCAGGGACCTTCTCTTTGGGCACGAACGCGCTGACAGGGCAAGAGGTGGTGAAGCTCTTGGCCAGGGTCCAGGGTAGCCCCTTCTTCTTGCATTCATCCTGCACGTCCCTGGCGGTCATGTCCAGGCACAGGGCATAGCCGGCCACGTAGTCCATGGCCTCGGCCTCCGGGACGGCGCGGCCTGGTTTGCCCATCACCACGCCCAGCTCGAGCTCGTGGTGCAGGTTGCGGCTGTAGGCGGGCATGAGGATGGGCGAGCCCTCGGGGGCATAGGCGGTGGACGGCTTCAGGAAGAGCACAGGCTGGCTAGGCACTGCGCTCCCCATCTCCTTGGCGTGGTCCGCGTAGTTCCTGCCCACGCACACGATATTCTTACCCCACTCCCAGAAGCGGGACAGCGGCCTGGAAACCGCCATGGCTCCAGCTAGGCGCCCCGAGTCACGTGGATTCGGCCGGACCCTTCCCAGACGCCTACGGCTACCCCGAGAGGACGAACTGTCTCCGAGCGCAATCCCGTCCGCGACCGTCCGTTCCGCTTTGTGCTCCACCGGGTGGCGCCGCAGTGGCGGAGCTCGGCCTCGGGTGAACCACTGACCAGTGGCGACCTCTGGGACGCCGGCCCGCTCCCTGGAAAAAAACGGAGGCGCTTCTGTCGCTTTTAAGCTGCAGCCCCTTCCTTGATTCTCGCCCGCGGGGCGTGGGCATGGGTTGGACGCGAGCGCTGATTGGCCGTGAGGCGAGCAGGACGTGGAATCGAGCTCTGATTGGTTGGTAAGTGGGGTGGGGCGCGAGGCAGGCACTGATTGGCCACGATTCGCGGACGCCGGCGTGTGCTGTCCGCCTACGCCTCGCACCGCCGCCCGCTCTCCGCCCCGTCATGGTGCTGAGCCGGCTGCTCGGCCGCTGGAGTCTCACCGCGCTGGGAGCCGCTTGCGCCTGCCGCGGCCTGGGTAGGTGGGCCGGGGCCGGCTAGGCCGGGGCAGGGTTGACAGCGGCAGGGCCGGGGGCGGGACAAGTCAGGTCCGCGGGCCCTGGCGGGTGTCATAGCCCGGAGTGGCAGTTGGGCCACCTGAGCTCCCCAGGCGTCCCGGCGGCGCCGGCGGCCCGCAGCCGGGAGTAGGGCGTTGGGCGTTGAGCGTTGGGCGTGGACGCAGGGCGCGGGCCGCGGGGCAGGGAGCCACCGGCCGCCCGGCTGACGCCTGACGCTGTTTTTTTAATCGACATAGGACTTTAACCCTCGCTGACGGCGGCAGGCAGGCCAGTGGGGTTCGAAAGGCTGCACAGCAGTCGGGTCAGGCTTTGAGGGCTGAAGACAGTGGGTAGCTGTCACTGAGGTTGCTGAAGGATTGTGCTAGGTAAGGAGCGTGTTCCCGGCGCACCGCCCACCTCCCCGCCAGCCGGCAGCCCTCACGTTCCTTGACGCTGGGCGGTGCGGTGTGGGGGGTTTCCCCCACATTTCCATACCCTCACCCCACAAATCCCGTATTTCTCACGCCCTAAGCAGTGATGTGACTGCCTAGAGCCCCAGAAAATGCTATTATATTTACCACAAAGGAAACCACATCTTTTCATCTGAGTTTTGGTTGTCAAGTAGAACCCGAGGCACGGAATCCAAAGCGATGACAATGGGGAGAACCCTGGGACAATGCTGGGGTTCTGTGGGCTGCGGGACCCTGGCCTTCCCTTGTGTTTCCATCAGTGCCTCTAAAATGAGAGGCATTGGGCACACTGGCCTCCAAGGGTGTGCTCTTCAGCTGTCAGATCAGATTCTTACCTCTTGCTTTTTGGAATTTTTTTATATCTTACTGATTTTTTTACAGAGAGTAAGGGAGAGGAGTAGAGAGCTAGAAACATCAATGAGAGAAAAACATCGATCAGCTGCCTCCTGCACAGCCCCTACCGGGGATGTGCCTGCAACCAGTGTACATTCCCCTGACCGGAATCGAACCTGGGACCCTTCAGCCCTCAGACCGACGCTCTATCCATGGAGCCAAACCGGTTTCAGCATGTTGGAATATTTTGGCCTTTATTTTGAAATCTCCTTTTCCTTATTTCCTGATATTTTACCTGGCTGATTAGCAATAGGGGCAGTCTCTGGGACCTGGTTAGCAGTTACCTAAATGACAGGAGGGCATTACATAAGCAGATGGAACAAACAGCGAAGCCATTCTTGGCCATTTTCAAATTCTTTTTTTGAAATCTCCTTTTCCTTATTTCCTGATATTTTACCTGGCTGATTAGCAATAGGGGCAGTCTCTGGGACCTGGTTAGCAGTTACCTAAATGACAGGAGGGCATTACATAAGCAGATGGAACAAACAGCGAAGCTATTCTTGGCCATTTTCAAATTCTACTGCAAGCAGTTAAGGTTCTGAAGTGGCTAATGTATCACCATTACTGAGGAAAGAGCCTGCTTTGTTTTTCATTTAGGAAAGCTCATCACCGTGTCAGGGCTGAGTGTCTGTGTCAGGGTAGACTGTAGGGAATCGCCAGGAGTTGATGCCATGCAGAAGGACTGGTTCCATTCAAAAGAAGTCAAACAAAGCATGTCTCAGGACTTGGCCCAGACCACAGGCTGCAGGTCCATACACTCTGCTTACACAAAGGGCACAGTTGCAAACCAGTGAGCTGGGAGCATTTCTCAGGCTGTGGGGGTGGGTTATATAATCTTTGGAAAAGGAATAAGGTTTCTGGTGGTGATTGGACCAGATGAATTCTTTGGTATCTTCCCCAGGTTCCCAAGCACCACCTGTAAATAACGGTTCTTCTTGACCAGGGCAGAGTGGGTATGTTCTATGGGAAGTAAAAAATGGGGCCCCTTTGAGGAGGATGCTTCCAGACTCGTGGAGTTTTGTTTCTGTCCTTCTGCTCGCCTCCTGCCGCACCCGCACTACACACACTGCTTTGTGTAATGTAGTCGTCAGGCTCAGATAGCACTGGGTCTCAGATACCTGGTGGAACATCACAAACTTGATCATACAAAAATGTCTGTTCTGCTCTGCACGAGGAGAAGGGTCTGGTAAATACCCGGCTAGTTGTCCAAGGGAAGAGGGTATTGGATATCTGTGCGTGATCATTAAAGCTACCGTTCAGGCAGTTTCCCTGACCATGGCAGAAAAGGTTGAACCTGCTTTCGATGCCCCTGGAGAGATGGCCTGTCTGTTAGTCGGGCCTCCCTGCTTTCTGGATCCCTTTGGGGAGAGGCCCCATCCCAGCACACACCCCAGAATTTCATGGCTGCCTCTGTCACCTATTATATAGTTTTAGTCCCTTTTATGCTAAGGCTTAAGGGCCTCCATGAATTTTTAGATTGAATAATAGGAGTTTTATTGTTGAAAATATTCAGATCATAAATCTGAAAGAGCTGATTCCCATGAATATGAGTTGTTTTCTAGAATTTCTTACTGATGTGGTTAAATAAGGATATTCTCTTTTTCACAGAAATTTAGACAACCCTGCAGGGCGAGCCTCATGCTTGGATGTTCACTGCATGTCGCTCTGGGATGTCACATCCCCAGGACGCCCCTGTTGCTGTGTCGCTGAGGGCTGTGCCTGATGTGGCCTCACATGACCTCTGACCAAAACTGCGTTCTTGTTCAGGTCTAGCCCAGCTGGGACTTCTCCATCACACAGATTTGAGGAAGAGCTTGACCGTGGAACAGGACGCCATGAAGGTTGAGTTATTGCCTGCCCTGACCGACAACTACATGTACCTGATCATCGATGAGGACACCAAGGAGGCCGCCATTGTGGACCCAGTGCAACCCCAGAAGGTGGGAGGTGTGTCCCCGGCACCAGCTCCTCATCCTCCGATGTTTGTGATAACCTCCGTGTTCTTGCAGCTTGGCTGAAGCTAACTAGAAATGAATCTATTTCTTTTTTTAACAAACAATTTAAATAGTGTCCAGCCACTATTATCGGGGCAAAGGGCCAATGAGAGGGGTGGGGGTGACCAGAAGCTTTGGTGTGGAAAGATCAGGCCTTGTGTCTGTTACGTCCTTGGGCAGAGAAGCAGGAGCTGTACTTGGTATTGTCTACTCTTCCTGGAGGCTTTGTACCCTTGACCAGAGGGGCTTGGAGAGTTCATGGGGGTGGGGGAGTGGGGGGTGAATTGCCAAGTGTATCCAGAGAGAGAAAAGCCACTTTCACCCTGTTCTACCAAAGTTAGGCCGAGTTGGCAGGGTCCGGACAGAGCCAGCCATTCCTGGCACACCCTGAGTCCGGTTGGGCTCCCCACCTTGGGGCTGGTGAGCCAGCACTTGTAGTGTGACGATGGCTCGGTCCTGCTTCATGTTTGGTTCCAGGTTGTAGAAATGGCCAAAAAGCATGGCGTGAAGCTGACTACGGTGCTCACCACCCACCACCATTGGTAAGTGCACTCCAGAGGTGGACTTCTTCCAGGCCAGCAGAGCTGATTAGGCCTGGTGGCTCCCTGCCAGGCATACCCTGAGGGTGGGGTTGGGTGGGGTTCTCACAGGCTCTCTGGGCCCTCCCGCAGCTGGCAGTCTGAGTCACCTGTGCCCCACAGCTATGACACTGTGCAGCTGAGGGTCTGCCTCTGAGAAGGCTCCGGTGTCAGCCTCCGTGCCGCTGCCCAATCCCCTGGGTCTTCCAGGCCCCAGCCCCTTGGCCCTGTGATGGGGCCTGGTAATGGGGGTTCTGTGGGGAGTTGCTTGTGCTGCGGATCCTTCTGCCATGAGACGACCTCCAGCAATGCCTCTGAAAGCACTTGGGCTTGTGTGATGAGATGTTGGCCTCAATGTTAGGGAAAAAAACTAGACTAGACTTTAGTGTTTTTAAAACCAACAGCCATATTTGGAGAGGTTGTGTGTGGCTTTTTTCTTTTTATATTTAAAGGCTAAACGATGAAAAAGAACCTGTGTTTTGGTTTAGGATTAGAATTGTATGTCCACGGTCCTTCTTTGAGATTTTTGAAACTTTTGAGGTTCTTCAAAGCTAATAATAATAATAATAATAACAATTATTATTATTATTATTATCATTATCATTATCATTATCATTATCATTATTATTTGGTTCTGATCCCCTGTCCCAAATAACTGCTAGAGTGCAGCTGACACCTTTGAGTGAATCTGTCCCTGTAGCATTGCTATTGTTTAGCCTGTAGGAGCTCCGCTTCACCAGCCTTTTCCCCCAGAAAGAAGATGGAGCCTTTCTCTGGGAGTGGTGTATGCAGGTGGCTTGGCCAGCTTGTTAATTGGTGGAAATGTCTGGCTTGATAAAACTAAGTTGCTGAGTCTCTGGGATATCAGGTGCTAATTACGGACTGGGTTTACAGCCCTTGCCCTTGGCCTGAGCTACTTAATGCAGCCTCTTTCTTTGGGAAATCTGCCTCTTGGGCCTCCATGTGGCTGCAGGAAGCACCTCTGTTCCTCAGCTTTGCACAGTTTGCTTCTCTCTCCCACGCTAAGATATCCCCACATCAGTTGTCATTTTCTGGAGGATTTTCTCAGCACCTTATGTTTATGCTAGAACATCAACCTTAATCCAGGTCCTAAACTGAGCTCTAGGGTGTGGCCTGTGCCTCGCGCCCACTTATCGTGGTAGTGAGCGGGCTAAGGGGTTGGCCCTGACCATCATGTAACAGTCCTTTGAGGGAAGGAGGCCAAAGGGCCAGCCTCCTTTTATCTCTGGCCCTGCTGTTTCTGGGCCCATC